TTCTACAAGCCTCTATTATCGTTTTTTTTTGTTTTATTATAAATCTAGAGTTCATACATTTCCAAATATTTTTTAATTATAAGTCTATTCGTTTTGGAACTTCTGAATTAGTACAATTATTCGCATTCTCTCACGTTTCTCTACGTCATCGGTATGAGAAGATTAGCAATTAGAGCAAAGCTCGGGCGCTTCTAGCCAAAATATTAAAGAAGTAGAACTATCGGTATGACAGATTTCCTAATCTCACAACTATCATTTTTTGGTACTTTATAACTTTTGTTTTATTTAAGGCGATGCTGCTAGGCTCGTTTTCGTAGAATACTCTTTTTTTGACGATCGCCTCTACGTTATCGACGCTTAGCGAGTTTGTCATCCACTTCAGCATCCCCTTAAGAGTGACGATTTTAATTTTTATATTCAATACTGTCGAGAATTGGGCCCCAGCTGATGTATATATGTATATATATATATATATATATATATATATATATATATATATATATATATAGCTAGTTCAAGATGTAGCGCTTTCTTCCAGGCATGCGTGAATTAAAAAGTCTTCTTTACCACGTAATCATTAAACGCTAGCACACATATCGCTTATTACTGGAATTCTCTTTTTATTTAAACTATCTATTAAAATTCACTTACGATATCTTCATAATGTTCCTGAAAGTCTTCTCTATGCCGCATACTATGTATTTGAAGCGTATGAACTCTAAATTTGTTACATGATACTAAATATGACACCTGTATCGCATTTCCAATAATAAATAATTTTCAAAAATTTTTTGTTGATTTCGATGCAACTTTTTAGTATGCGGCATTCATTATCGCTTATGCTTTCACGCTGTAAAAGCATTTGCAGTTTTATGCATGTAATTAAAAGAAAAGAGTATTCTACGAAAACGAGCCTAGCAGCATCGCCTTAAATAAAACAAAAGTTATAAAGTACCAAAAAATGATAGTTGTGAGATTAAGAAATCTGTCATACCGATAGTTCTACTTCTTTAATATTTTGGCTAGAAGCGCCCGAGCTTTGCTCTAATTGCTAATCTTCTCATACCGATGACGTAGAGAAACATGTGAACGTGAGAGAATGCAAATAATTGTACTAATTCAGAAATTCTTCCAAAACGAATAGACTTATGGTTAAAACATATTTGGAAATGTATGAACTCTAGATTTATAATAAAACAAAAAAAAAAACGATAATAGAGGCTTGTAGAAATATTATAAAAAAAATTACTAGTATTCTTACACAATAAAAGTATATGTAAAAATTAATTACAGTATTGTTCAATATGTGATAAAAATGATAAGAAATGTATATATTTGATATGATGTAAAGCTAAACCTAAATTCTTTCTCAACACATTTCATGATTAATCAAGAATTTCAAACATTGAATTTGTTATCCATTCTGACATCCCTTTAAGGTTCAAATTGCTATAGAGTATAATTTTGTTTGTAATAAGTTTATTGTTTAATTAAATTTTGATTTAAATACACAAATATAATAGTTACAATTTTTGACGAAGTAATACACATACGTCTTTGTATGCAATAATAATATATGAATATATAATATGGATGTTGTACATTTAGTGTATTATAGTAGATATGTATTATAGCATATACATATATATAAGCATAAATAGAATATACAGATATAAAATAAACTTATCTTTGTCAAATATGTTCCGCTTAGATTATAAGATTCTTTCAGATCTCTATGTAAAATACACTTCGTCTTTGTATGCAATAATAATATATGAGTATATAATATGGATGTTGTACATTTAATGTATTATAGTAGATATATATTATAGCATATATATATATATATATATATATATATATATATATATATATATAT